AAAAAAAAAAAAAAACATAGCGCAAACATCGGGGCATTTTGACAAGTACAATACTTGTCAAAATGCCCTGTTTTTACAGGGGGTGGGCGCAAAATTGCACCTTGCCCACCTTGACTACAATCCTAGCACCGGCCCTGCTCACTACAGTAGGTATCCAAGAGTTCTCCATATTTGTTGTAGAATAATCCAAACCACAGACTTGTGAATTGAAAATACTTGTATAATACAAGTTTATTGAATAAATATACATGGCACTTTAACAGCAAGCAAACAGCACTTCAACGGGTTTAGGTGTTAACTTATTTACATTTCAGGATATATTTATATCATTTACTAATTTTTGTAAGATAGCTGATTAACATATGACATACCCCTCATTAATATCAGCTAGGACAACCTAGTGTTTCCAATGCCTAATACCAAAACCAATCAGCACACATTTCTGATTCTTAACCCCGTTTAGTTAGTTAGAGATGCTGACGGGAGCAAAATCATAACCAGTGTGAGGCCAAAATCTTGACCGAAGTCATGTTCAAATTTCCCCAACACCATTCACTTCAAAATACTTCCTGTTCATGCATTATGATTAAACATTTCAGAAATGTACATATCTTTAATGCTCTGTGATCTATGGACAGGCCTAAATATAGCTGCCCAAACCACTCTGCACAATTTTGCTTTTGATACTCCGTCATTCTCAGATTTCCATTGACTTACAAAATATTTTTGATTCCGAAATACAGAATTTTGGATGTTGGGCCAAGCCCCAACTGATCACACTTTTTAAATGTTCATCCATTTCTAGTGCTGTGTGACACATGAACAGGCCCAGATGTTGACATGTGGGAGGTGGGGTGCACACTTGTAATAAGGGTTACTTATAATATGAGCTTTTAAATATTGAGTGCAGAAGTAAAAAGGGGTGGAAGCAGGTGGCTGTAGGTCAGTTGATAATTAGATAGTTTGATGTTTAGATTGACTCTACAACAACCTATGCAAAGGCCTGTCACAAGCTCTGCTGGATGCACAGTTATATTGGAAGTATACATTGACCCCTTATGATGCCTGTTTTGCTTTCTTATAACAAGGGATGCACCAATACCGATACTAGTATCGGTATTGTTGCCGATGCCGAGTATTTGAGTGAGTACTCATACTTGCCCAAATGCTCCGATGCCTAGCCTGATACTTGTGCTTCCGGTATCAGGAAGCTGGGCAGCGAGTCAATATATGCTGCCTGGCTTCCTGATTAGCCTGGAAGCTGACTCCATGCTCCCTTGTCACTTGTGCTGAAGGAGCATGGAGCCGGCTTCCCGGCCAATCAGGAAGCCGGGTAGCATGTCATTACACGCCCCCCGGCTTTCTGATTGGCCTTAAAGCTGGCTTCATGCTTCACCTGGTGACAAGGGAGCATGGAGACGGCTTCCCTGCTCATCGGGAAGCCAGGTGGCAAGTATTTACACGCTGCTCGGCTTCCCGGCTAATCAGGATGCCAGGTAGTGAGTCAATATATGCCGCCTGGCTTCCTTAATGGGACTTCCGGTATCAGTATTCAGTATCGGCGAGTACCGGAAAAAAATATATAGGTACTCGTACTCGATACTGAAAAACCAGTATTGGTGCGTCCCTACTTATAACCCTATTATAGGAGGAGATTGGAACACCTGGAGGAAACTCAAGCAAATATAATCACATAATGCTGATGACCTGGCATTACAGAAAATGTATGACTGCTATCCACATAGCTGTTGTGCTGGTTTTTTTTACTAGGTTTTTGTTTATATAACTGGACTCCTTTTTTGGAGCTGCCCTATTAGCAATTGTGCAAGTCTGCATAGATACATCCCTGACAGGTCACAATACATACAGACAGGTGACCATCAGCGATTCATATATCTAAGTTCCACAGATGATCCAGTTCCTGTGTTAATATACCGTATATCAGACTCTTTAGCATAGTTTCTTCATAGTTAATTTATTTCATAATTTGTACAAATCAAAAATAGATTCTCTTTTAGAGAAGATTAAACTCAGTCCACATCCATTATGAATATATTTACTGCCAGCTCACTTTAGTTGCGAGGAATTGCACAGATCTCATGCTTCAGTGGAGGGGTTGTGAAGCCAACAGCGCCTGTGAGGTCCAGTTTTGCTCCAGGTGGAGCCTGAAAGGTGAAGTTTTGTAGCAGTGTTGTAAAGAAGAGGAACAGTTCCATTTTAGCCAACGTCTCTCCGGCACAACTTCTCTTACCTTGGAAAAGATATGAAGTATAAAATAATTGCTAAAATAACAAAAAAATATTGACTTTTACATCTGTAGGACAGACATTCTTCTATCTCTGTGTTCTTCTAGGTCCAGTGAGTGACACACATTGTAGCTTGCTTAGCAAACCCTGCATGCACCATCATTTTACCCTTTGCAATGTTGGTTCATCATGGGGTATTTGCATATCTCACGGCCACTCATACTTTTAGACCTTTCTGCTGTCTTAGACATAGTCTACCATCTGCTCCTCCTCTATAAATTCCACTCCGTTGGCCTCCAAGACTCTGCTCTCTCATGGTTCACCTCCTACCTGTCTTGGCGCACCTTCAGTGTCACCTACAACTCTACCACCTCTCCTCTTTCTCTCTCCATAGGGGTCCCTCAAGGCTCTGTCTTTGGCCCCCTTCTATTCTCTATCTACACCTGCTCCCTGATTCAGTTGATAACCACCCATGGCTTCCAGAACCATCTCTATGCTGATAATACACACATGTTCTTCTCCACTCCTCAGCTCAAACCTTCTGACTCCTCATGCATCACTAATCTACTCGCTGACATATCATCATGGATGTCACACCAGTTCCTCAAACTCAACCTTTCCATAAAGGGGCTTTTAATATATCCTCCTCTCCATGTCCCCTCCTCTGACTTCTCCATTAAGATCGACAGCACAATGATCAACCCCTCTTCTCAGGCCAGGGTGGGAGTATCCAAGATAATTGCCCTCCACACATACTAAAATATCACTTTGGGTAGAATTACATAGTTTACATAGTATTTGAGGTTGAATAAAGACATAAGTCCATCAAGTCCAACCTATTGTGTGTATGCATTTATATTTGAGCTGGTGTGTGCGTGTGTATAAGTCCATGTGTATTGGGATTACTAACTGTGGCCCTATTTGTAATCGTTGCATTGGTGACCGCTTGGTCTGTCCCTGTTTTGCCATAGAGGGGCCCATGACACATTTGCGGCAATTTAGAGTTCCCCCCATTTGGTTTACTTACCTACAGAAAATGGTATAAAAGCGTCATTATTAACAAGGTTTCCCTCCGAGTCCAGAAAATGCTGAGGATAAAACTCTTCTGGCTTCACAAAGTGTTCTTTGTCTCGTAGGACAGAATACAATAATGGAATCACTTGAGTTCCCTGCAAAGAATAGATGAAAAATAAATTTTGAGAGATCAAGTAACAGTTCTTATTAGTTGATGGATCTGTTCAATGTGTTCTCAATGTACTTCAATTACATGAACAATTCATCGTGTTAGTAACCCCGTTTACATACAACCTTTTGTAGGTAACCTGGTAACTCTTTTTTCCCCCCACCTTTTTGTAATGCAGTAGATGTATTCCTAGATACCCCTACCATAGACTTCTAGCGATTTCTCACATACAGAATGTCTAATGTATTACTAAATTAATACTAAGACTAGAAGCTTAGATCCACCAGCCCCAACAATACAATTCAAACTTACCTTGGACGTTTTAGTATAATTGGGGATACAGCAGACAGAGAGAGGGAGAGTTAACCAGTACACAGGTAACTGAAGCCCCATCCCATCAAACATGTGAGAATACTGGTGAACTGGTACAAGGAGAATATTTAAACTCATTCTTTATGGTAGCCATTGCCGTGACTCCTTGCCAGATACCCTGTTCATTGTAGATTTCTGCTTTACTCAAGGCTGACCCACATTGCCTGACTCTGTTTGTATGGCTTCCCCTATTGCTGACTCTGCTCATTCCTGTTATCCCTGCCTGCCACCTGCCTCGGCCTTTGCCTGGACACTGAGTTCTGCTGGATGCCATTTGCCTTGACCCCAGCCTAGACTATTCTAATCTGCTGCCTGCTTTGACCTCTGCCTGGACACTGACTACACTTGCCTGCTGCCTACCTTGACCTCAATCTGCACCTTGACCAGCTTTTGAGCCGATATCTGTCTCCACATTACAGCTATTCTGTTTTTACAATTCCCATGGTGGGCAATCATCAGGGCAGTTACCTGGCGACATCTTGCAGCAATGTAGTGTGGGAGCCATTAGGGTCGCTGGCCCATAACTCATTGTAGGGTGCTCTGGTGAAGACCAAGGTACTACCTTGATTCTGTGCTATGACTAACCCAGTATCACCTGCCGGGGGTGTGGACTGCAACATCTGATTAAATGGTAATAGGGTCAATTGTTTCCCTTAGAAGATGTCACCACTCTTCTAGTGCAAGCTTAAAGGCTAGGTGCACTTAGTCCTCTCTACAACAGCAAAGGCGTCCACCTCCAGAAGGGCCAAGAGGTGTCAAGGCAAACCAGAATAGGGGCAGATACGAAAGACTCGCTTATGCTTCCTCCATGGCAGCACTGACTGGGAGGAAGTTACGTAAAGATGCACAGAGCGCACTCTGTACCTATATGTAACTTCCTCCCAGTCAGTGAATAGGTGCCCACGGGGACTTTAGGCAGCCATTTTATATGATCAACAGCAGAACTTTTACCTCAGCGGGGCAGTGCTCCAGAGTGTTAAGAAATTTCAAGGTTCATGGCATAGTTCTCTGCTTCTCAGACTGACACAGGCAAAAAACATACCTATGTTTTTTGCCTGAGGAAGGGGATCCTGTGTGCCCCCGAAACGTACATTGCAAATACCTGTTGTGCTGCACGTCAATAAATAGACGTTTGCTCACCACATTGGAGTGCAGGTGTCTATGCTTCTTCTTAGGTTATTAATACTGTCTCTCTTATCCTATCCTGGTGCGTACCAATTGTTTGTCCATCTTAATAGGGACAGGAATTTGCAGTCTCCCAAACAGGGTCACACATTCGAAAGAAGTGTTTTATCTTCTAAACTAAAACAAGAATAAATGTTTAGGTTGGAGTTGGGCATATATGACAACCCACTGTTCACTTTCCACTTGCAGAACCTTAGTTTTGCCCTCCATATGAGTAATACTTGACTTCTGTAGTTTTGTAGTGGTTCAAGAGATGGAAACAGATGCCTTTGGGAATTTTACATTGTAGTAATTAATGTAACAATTGACTTCTGGAGTTGGTCAAAAGTTGGTAACTATTGTCTTTTATATTTCGTATTGCTTACTTTGGGTATGAAGAATTCTTTGAAAGTCACATCTTGAGTAGTGGCATGTGGAACGTTGGTTGGCACGATATTGGCAAACCTTTGGATTTCATGGATGACGGCATCAGTATATGGCATGTCTTTTCGGTGTATCGGGCGAGGCTCTCCGGAACCGATGACTTTTTCAATTTCCTTCTGAACTTTTTCTGTTATGGAAAAAAAAGGCATACTGGTTTAATTTAAGGGGTTTACTATTTTATCTTTAGATATACCCAGACATTCCCAATCTTCTTGTTAGTTAAAAGATAACAAATCTGCATCAGAACATTTTGGCAGATGGATAATTATTCACCATGAACTAATTCCCCTGTCTCCTTTAGTTGACTTTAATTGATTTGTCTTTTAAACTGTTAGCTCTAGAGCTGTAAGTATTGGCAGTAATGTGCCATGTTCATGATCAGGTAGCATGCTTCGTGGACAAATTACCTTTAACCCAGTCATATGCTCTAAGCATTTATTACTGAGAAGATTGGGTTCAATAGATAATAACATACTGATGCTCATTGAAAAAAAATATACAAAGTAAACTACTTACCTTGTATTTCTGGGTATTTCATCATCAGCAGGAGGCCCCATCGGAGAGTGGTGGAGGTTGTCTCCATTCCGGCCGCAAACAAGTCCGTCACCAGAACTGTTAGATTTGTGTCATTGAAATATAACTCTGGATTTGGCTTCTCCTAAAATTCATACAATTCAGAGTATATCAGATTTGCTTTAGCTCTTATATACAGGGCTGAATTTCAGGCACTAGGGTCTGTAGACTCTCAATTTTCAGGGTTCAAAGCACCTCCCCTGCTAGGATGTTATGTCTTACATAACATTTTCTTGTTTGCTGGTCTTAACCTAACCTAACATATTGTAACATTGTATAAGTTTATAAGAGATTATTGCATTTTTACTGTTAAAATTGTGCCCAATAAATACCCATTTTAATAAAGAGGACCTGAAGCTGTGCCAAAAAAAGGCAACTGAAAGAAAAAATATTGCCTGTGGCCTTTCTGGAGCTGATCTGCACAGTATCTTTGTGTGAAAGAAGCCATATTGGTAGAGCCAGGGCGTTGTTTTATCAAGCAGAGCTGCTCTCCCGATGACTAGTGATTTAATCCAGCATTTTTCAACCACTGTGCCGCGGCACACTAGTGTGCCGTGAGATATTGTCTGGTGTGCCGCGGCTTTGGCTCACAAATAGACCAATCATACCGGTGCGAGAGCAGGGGACGCGGGTCGGCAATGGAGCCGCGACGAGAGCTGGGAGCGTGGAGCAGCCGCGATGACATAGCTGGGGCCGTGGAGCGGCGGTGACCGGGTATAGAGCGGTGATGCAGCCGCGTGACAGAGCAGGGGGGCGTGGAGTAGTGACGGCGTGGAGAAAAGATGAAGCCGTGACAGAGCCGGAGGGGTGGAGCGATGAAAGGTTCTGTCACGTCTCCAGCTCGGGGGGAGGAGCCGGTGACGTGACAGGAGCTCTGAGCCGTTACAGAGCCGGAGCATTGATAGAGGCAATTCTGCCAGCATCCCTCAGAGGACCCCCCTTTCTGCAGGTCTTGTCACGCTCCTAGCAACTGGGAAGGTGAGGGGGTTCTTTTCCATGACACACCAGCAGTGTGCACTTGACTAGTGTAAAGAAAAAGAAAAAAAGTGGGGCTTTATTGGTGCCAAAAGACAATTCTGAATAAAAATGTTTTTTTATTTGAGATATGTATACACTTTACACTTTCAACCCAGGGGTGTGGTGCTTAAATACTCAGGCCTTGGCCAGCACTTAAATGTATGAAGAGTGTGCACTAAAGTTTAATTTTTTTAACATTTTCTAATGGTGGTGTGCCTCGTGATTTTTTTCATGAAAAAAGTGTGCCTTTGCACAAAAAAGGTTGAAAAACACTGATCTAATCACTCTTGAGGGGAAATTCAGGAACAAGCAGGAGCGGTGTAAGAAGCACAGGCACACAGAATGAATGAAGCACAATCAGGGAGATGTTTGTCTGATTGGATAGCACAGTAGTGTCATCACCAATTCCCAGCCTATATCTTGTTAGACTTGCAGTCAGAGGCATCAGTGTCTTTGATGATCTCATACTGCACTTTTACAGCTATGACGCTCATGGCACAGAAAGTGTCCTGCTGTTTTTTCAGGGGGAATTCAAAGCAAATGGTAATTTTTTGAGGATGCTGCCTAGGCAAAGTTACATTTCTAGTTTGCCTATAAGATAACAAATCATATCAAACACTTTCTGAGCTCAGAATCTCTTTACAGGTTTAACCTGAGGCGCTGTGTGGAAAGTTTGTGGATAGTGTATGTGTCCCCCTGGTTTCTCACCTACACATGGATAAGGGAAAAGGCTTTGTGTCTGTTTTGGAGGAATCAAACTTTTTGTTTTCTCAAATCCTAATAAGTTTCAGTCTGGGTACTGGAGTCCAGGGGTTTTGTAAAGCTTTGGGTGGGATAATGCCTTAAGTCCTAGGTCAACATCTATCCTGCTAGCCATACTTCAATAATTAGTCTGATGTGTGAGAGGGTTCTACTGGCTGAAAAGTAGGGATGCACCGATACCGTTTTTTCGGTATCAAATACGAATACCAATATTTTCCTTTCGGTACTTGCCGCTACCGAGTACCGATTCCAGTGCTTCCTTTGGCATGGAGCCGGCTTCCCGGGCAATCAGGAAGCCAGGCTGTATGTAATGACATGCTTTTCGGCTTCCTGATTGGCCGAAAGCCGCCTTTTCAGCCAATCAGCATCGAGCCAGCTGTTCTGCTGGCTCAATGCTGATTGACCGGGAAGCTGGCTTTCAGCCATATCAGTAAGGAGCCGGCTGTTCAGCCAATCAGCATGGAGCCGGCTTCCCGGCCAATCAGGAAGCTGGGAGGCCGGTCGTTACTCACCACCCGGCTTCCTGATTGCCCAGGAAGCCGGCTCCATGTACCCCTATGACACTGCCGGTCAGAGGAAGCTTTCCTCTCACCGGAAGTTCCGGTATCATGGAAGGTATCGGAGCATTTGGGCGAGTACGAGCCCTCGCCCAAATACTCAGTTCCGGCATCAATATCGATACTAGTATCGGTATTGGTGCATCCTTACTGAAAAGGCTTACTGCTAACAGAACACTCAGGAGGTACATGTGCTGTCTGTTTTGGGGAATACAAAAGTGAGCACCCTATTAGTTGGGAACTGACATTAGTTTAGTTAGTGGCTCGGATGGGCTGATGTTTTGTTTTGGATATATCCTGCGGACTTACTGTACAAAACCCTCCTGCATTGAACTGTGTCTGTTCACTTCTTTGCTGAATAAAACTGCAGGACCAACCTGCTTGGAATGTTCCTTAGTGTTCCTGTCTCATGCATGGTTTACCAATGCCCCTTCCAGTTGAGCCTGTCCCCTTTACAGGTAGAAATAAGCAGGTACTGTAGAAATGTTGAATACCTCCTTTTGTTTGACAAGGAAGACATCAATCAAATTCTTCTGATCATTCACATCCAGCTGATTCCTCTGGTTGGTGAAGGTTTCTCTGATAAAAGTGTGTATTTCTTCTACGTTTGGAATTACTTCTCTGTGACTCCCGGGAAGCCACCGAACCAGAGATGGAAAAGCATTGTACAACTAAAAGAAGAAACATGATAAGGTCAGAATAAATACAAGTTCTAGGTTTATGAAGGATATGTACAGTATTTTTAATGCAAGCAGTGTAAGTACCTATATCTGACCTGGTATCAGCTTCTTGCAGCCAATGTACAACAATAAAGGGGTGCAAGAGGAAGAAGCTGTACAAGGAGCCAATCACATCATGTGCTGACAAGATGCATGCTGATAAGAAGAGAAAGCAGAGTGACAGATCACTGTGCTGCTTCTCGTTTCACTGTCCAGTGACAGGCTGGGGGTGGGTCAGGGACAATCTGTGCTTAGAAGTGGGTAAAATGATGCTGGTCATCAAACTGAGGACATCTAGCGGCAGAAAAAAGGTTCTGCTGGGGAACAATTTTGACTGAAGCTGAATATTGCAGCAAAAGATAGCTAATGTGCTAAATTATTTTTGATCTGAGTTATGCTCAGCATCAATGGAAAGGGAATGTGGAGAGTAGAAAATGGTTCCACAGCAGTGGAACAATTGCAATCATGGCATCTTTCCCAACCGTACAGGTCAGGCCGAATGTCATTGTTCAGTGGTTTTATAGACCAGTGGTTCTCAACTCGTGGGTCGCGACCCAAAAGTGGGTCGCGACACCCTCTGCAGTGGGTCGCGGCGTCATGTCTGAATAGACCGGCCTGAGACTGAATAGAGAGGGGGAATTTGTGGTTCAGCCTGTGGAACCTCATGTCAAACTGTCCCCTCTCTCCCGGCCTCCCCCGGGCTCTCAGATAAAGTGGTATGGCCCGGGGAGAAAGGGCACTATTTCCTCACTTTCGGTTGGTCACGCCTTAATGACCAAGGAAACATGTGGGTCCCGAGGTTACACGGGTTGAGAACCACTGTTATAGACAACAGAATGTCCTATCGTCTAGCTAGGTCATGCTATACAGTTGCACTTCTCTTGTTCTGTATGCTGGGGGTTATTCTCAATGTATTTTCTTATTCTGTATGTGTGGTCTGACACAGCATTCTGGATAATAAGTTGCTCACCTCCTCCCACCTTCCTACTGGTAAGTGGGGCTAATTTCACCCACCATAATAAAGACAGAGGGGGTAGTAAGCCAGAAAGTTATTTTGCTAACATATGCCCGATATCTTGCTGAAGGTTTGGGAATTGCCTGGTGCAAACAAGAAGGCACCTGCGCCTGCTCTCTTGATGGAGTTTGGGCAACCATACAAGGTTTGGTGAGCTAATGTTTATATGTTGCAGTAAAAATAACCTTACCAAAACCATTGGGGAACCCATAATTCTGATATTATCATTGATTATTGACAAAAGCCTCCGAAGTTTTGGATCATCATAGTCAAAGCGATGGCCAAGCAATATGGACACAATGATATTGGCCACAGCAGCATTCACAATCATGGTGTTTTCAAATGGTTTTCCTGGAAAACAAGCAAAAATACTAATCAAACAAAGGTAGAAGAAGTTACTGTAAAAGGGTTACAATGAGAACAAGGGGTTAACTTCTTTTTGTATTGCAAAGGCCAAATGTCCATGGAGGGTTTCAGAAACTTACTGTGACCTGCCACAGATTGGTAGATGACTTTGAGTAGACACTAAAGAAGACTTCTGCCAGCCAACAAGAGGTTTTCAGAAAGACCCAAGATGATAAATCTTGGGTCGCTAATGGGTCAGCTGTTTCATTGGGCTGGAGATGGCTTTGTGATTAGTTACTTTTTACCCAGACACCATGCATGTTTTTAACACGTACAACTCTCTCCTAGAGAAAGGCTGTCTGGGCACAGGAGGTGCCTGGGGGTACCATGAGAAGGTTCCTCCTGGGTATGTGTGTTACATTCAAGGAACAATTGCTAATTTAGATTACTGAATGTAGAGATGCTCTATCCCGCTCTGCTAATGAAATAAACAATTATAATTAAAATTTCTCATATATGCACTTTGAGTTATTTCATTATAATTAAAGAGCCAATATAAGAAGGAGATTGTCTAAGTTGTAGAACACAAGATTCTGGTGAGGAGATTAAGTTTAATTTCTGAAGAAAAGTATCTCCCCAAAGAAAATGTGGGCACTGCCAATGTAAGGAGACAAAGGAAGGTATTTGCGGAATAAGTGAGTGTATGAGAGGCCTGAAGAATCTACGCACAAGTAGGTGTAGTATGTCCCTGTCTCCTGGGTACAGATGTGAGAATCTATACAGTTGATGTGGAGTATCTGGGCTTGGTGTTATTGTCAAATGATACCTTTTGCATGCAAATGCAGCACTACTCAAGCACATGGGTTCAAACTAGGGATGCACCGATACTAGTATCAGTATCGGTGCAGATACCGAGTATTTCCTCTGACCAGCAGTGCTGCAGGGGAACATGGAGCCAGCTTCCCGTGCGTTCAGGAAGCTGGGCAGCAAGTAATGGACTCCCGACTTCCTGATTGGCCGGGCAGCCGGCTTGATGCTGATTGACCGGGAAGCCGGCCTCCCGACCTCTCAGCATCGATCAGGCTGTTTGGTCATTACTCTCTGCCCGGCTTCCTGAATGGCCAGGAAGCCGGCTCGATGCCGATTGGCTGGAAAGCCGGTTTCCCGGCCAATCACAATCGAGTCGGCCAAATAACATGGAGTCAGGAAGCCGAGCGGCATGGCATTGCTTACTGCATGGCTTCTTGATTGCCCGGGAAACCGAGTCCATGCCAGTGGAAGCATCGGTATCGGTACTCGGTATCGGCGAGTACTGAAATCAAAGTATCAGTACTCATACTCGATACCGAAAAAACGGTATCGGTGCATCCCTAGTTCGAACACATATGCATCTCATTAGGTACTGCTGTGTCTACAGAAATGCAACGATGGAAGCCTCAGTACTGTCAACCACACAACACTACTACTGACCTTTGTAGGATTTGAAAACCTCTATCAAACTCTGGCACTCTTCAGTGATCTTATCTTCTACTGTTCTTTTCCCCATTCCGAAATCTCGCAGTGTGGAAAGAGTGAATCGTCTCATGGCTTTCCAATTATTACCATTAGAAAATATAAGACCTAAAGAAAAAAAAAATAACACGTACATTGCATCAATCTAAAGAACAATTCCAATCCTATATGTTACTCTATGGAACACATTTTTATTGATTCTCCTAATCAGCCTTACAGTGTGGAATTTGGTCTCCTAGGGTCCTTTCTTTCACTCTCGCCCCTGTTTCTTCCTCACTATCTCTGTCCTCTCCTGTGGTCTTTTGCTTTCTAGTATCTTCTCTTATTATAGTCTCTTCTCCTTTTCATTAGAACAATTCATTTAATTCGCTTTCCAAGCACTTACATTTACTTACATTTACTAATGCCCTCCTGTGACCCACAACTCAGCATATAGCGGGGTATTGGCTGCTATATGCTGACAGTGCAGAGCAGTGCTGCCACAGGGAAGGATTCCAACAATATTGTCGGGAACCACCTGATTGACAGCTGGCTCTGCCTCTCTAGAGCTAGACCCAGGGAGCGGTGACTGACAGTCATTGCTCTCTGCAGGGAGAAGACTGTGAGCTGAACAATCAGCGGTTTGTGATCGCTCAGTTCTCGAACCAATAGAACCGACGTCTGGCAGCTGCAATGTCACACGTCAGCTCTGAATATGAGGATGGGTATATTTCACTCATCTAATACTACTCCTTTAATCCTCAAAATGCATAATATTTTAGCAGTACAGTGCTGTGGAGAGGCCAAATGTCTGATTTGTATGCCTGTAAAGCAGTGTTCCACACAGTGGTGTGTCTTCTTACTGGACATTCTAGATGATACGTTTGCACCCCAATTAGCACAATCTATAGGCAAATATTTGCACTTAAACTCTGAGACAGATGTGTTTGTTCTGATCTTTTAAATTAAAAAAAAATTAAAAATCCAGAACTGCCATTGTGTGCAGTACACGTTTGTAAAACCTTCTGAAAAATCCTAGGTGTGCAGACAGAATATGATGGGCTTCAAACATGATAGCTTTATGATTAAATAAAAGATAGTTATCAATATTTTGGGTGCTACTGGTTCCCTGAGGAAAAAAAAATCAGTGTTTGATGTCTTCACATAGCAGAACAACAGCTAAAACCATCATTCTTACTTCTGGATCCATAATTTATAACTGGACACAGTTATGAGTGTAGCCCCCATCACTTTTTGTGATGTGGCTACTAGAAGTTTAGTCATTGTCAGAGCTGTAGTCAGTCTGGCTGAATTATAGTTGGCATGTATCTGGTTAAGTCCAGGTGTTCTAGCATTGATTGTACCTACCTGAGTGCAGTGTGACTTTGTTACAGTGTGAGACAACCACTGAGGGGCGTCTGTGAGTGTGTGTACAGTTCACCAGCCAATCACTGGGACTCTGATAGCCAGTGTTGCATGCTGGGTAAGTGTTTATATACTTGAGGGAATTGCCCTGTGCTCAGTCTAGTTGGGCTCCAGCCATGGATTATTCTATGTTGTGGTGTTGGCCAGCCACCCCGCACGCTAGGTTTGAGGCCTAGAGGTGTAGATACTGGAGTGTGGGAAAGGCGCTGCTAGGCCTCAAGCCTAAAAGGGGCTTATGCTGTTGTCAGAGGAGGAGAACCAGGGAAGCTGATGGCTGCTGGAGGTGCCTACATAGTGAACCTCAGGAGCAAGTATAGTGTCTCTCCTACTGAAGATTATGTGCCAATCCCTGCTCATCTGTTGCTCAAATGTCCAACTCGTGTTCCCATTGAATCTACACTCAATTACTAAAAGGGACTGGTGAGTCTGGAGTCTATGTCTGTTTTACCCTGGATGTCTAGGATCCCTATACCCTCTCTCCCCAGTGTGAATATGTGAATAACGTTATTCATCATCATACTTCTGGCTTGGATAACAACTCTGTGGGCACAAGAAGAGGGTAGTTAATGCTCATGGGGCAGCTGGTTACCAAAATCCCTAGACAGGCTAAGGCTGACCTGGGTTATTCTGGCAGCTCCTTCGGGGGTGAGCGCTACATGAGTATTTGATGAGTGATTACCTAAATCCTACCTGTGCTCATAAGGTAATATGCAGGGGGCGTGGTCTGCACCCGGAGACTGATGGCAGCCTGAGTTGAGAGCTCCGGCCAACAGGGACCCACACGAAGCTACTTCAGCCCCTTTTTGGACTAATATGAAGATCGGGCAGCTGGACTATCAATCCAGGGTCCGGACACCCTCGAAATCTCGAACGAATAAGCACGTTCCGGACATTTTCAGGCCCCAGAAAGCAAACGCGGGGGTATCGGGTTCAACCAATATGGCGCTCACCCAGACCAGGCCGGAGAAGGGGAAGACGCCTCTATAGGGGGCAGACAGCTATGATCCGCCTGCCTGAGGATGTACCAGACTTCTGCAGCCGCTTGGGAATACCAGAGGTCCAGATCCCTGACTGGTATGCGGACCTCAGGCGGGTACCGGAAGCCATGGAGGGACCTGACCAGATGGAGTGGGCGACGCCGCCCCGTATACGGCAGGGGGAGGCCGGAGGAGCCGGGATGCGCCCGCGGAGGCAACGGAAACAGCGTGAGGGCAGAGAGGAGGAAGCCTCCCATCCCATACCAGCGGATGCCAGTAATCTTACCTCCCGGTCGCCATAGAGGGATATGCGGTCTGACCTCCGACCCATAGGTCAAGAATGGACACTCACAGCCCCATTTTTCCTTTTTTCCTACACTCAATTGACGTTTTTGATGTTGCAAGCAGCCAGTTTGGAGCTGCACGAAGGTTATTGGCACAGTCTCCCAAGGGCATCCTTGTTGCGGACTTGGGACTCGGAGGCCCACCGTGTTTCTTCATGACAGGATGGAGGGGGACATCTAGCAGAGAATGGGCCTTAGAGGAGGGGAAAGCCCTAGTCTCCTATGTCTAATACCCAAAAGATGTATGCATTACCTGTTGGGTGGTTCTGCTGGTCAAATGTTTAAAGAATATGGGGACCTGTCTAACCTCTCCATCAATTACATGAAATATGAGGCCTTAGCCCTGAATGATGTAGGAGGAGGTTCTACAGACCTGCAGAGCTTATTCCGAGTACGATGGGAGCGAAAGGCCATAAAATACCTGGGGATATACCTCACTTCCTCCATTGCAGATCTGTTCAATCTAAATTTCCAACCGCTCCTAGCGACTTCCCTGGAGAAGCACATGATCAACGCGGCCAGATCACTCATTCCTAGGTTGTGGAGGGAGACGAGAGCCCCCACACTGAGGGAATGGATCCAACAGGTGGGGCATATATGTGAGATGGAGGAGCTCATGGCTACCAAACACGACTGTATGGACAAGTGCGCAAAAATATGGACACCCTGGACGGTGTTTTGCTGTAGCGCGGAGTTTGACCGCATTAGAGCAGGGGGGAGGTAATGGGGCGAACAGGGGGGCCCTTCGAGCTGTCAGCCTTAGAGGGCCAGTGGACAGTCGGGATTGCTCTGAGTAGTGAGGTAGACCCCCGGAGGAGCGGAGGGGAGGCGCTGAGCTCTCTTTCTTTGTATTTGTCTCTTTCTTTTCTTTCATTCTCTTATTTTCCCTTTCTCTTATGTTTCCTTCTGATACCCGCTAGAAGTCCATGCTGACGGGATACAAGTGATACCTCCAAGATAAAACACAGTTGCTCTGTGCTAATGGTTTTAGACAAGCGTGAGACGCTTCGTAATCTGCAATATTGTGTGCAGCTAACATTGGGGCGGACTGTACCATTTGCTGGAGACGTCGTTTTTCTTTCTTTTGTTGTACCGTTGTGTCCTGTATATCTTTGTGCAGAATACAATAAAATAAAAATTTTGAATGGAAAAAAAAAAATAAGGTAATATGCAATGGCCAGCCCCTTTCATCCAACTGAATAGCCTGAATATATGGTGGCTCACTTTGATCTCTCAGGTATGAAAATGGAGATCTGTAATCAAATCTTGGTCATATCTGAGTGGGGTTCCAATCTGTATGGGGGGCATGGTCCACATTTTCTATCCAACCACAGGAGCAGAAATACTTTTTCTGTAAGTTTTATCCCTTTTATTTTAGTGCTGTGTGCATACATTTGTCTCAGCTTGTAACTTTTTGTTGCCACTTCCCGTCTAGAGTTATTAAATATAAAATAAACAAACTGCTTTTTGATTCTTTTAAATTAAGTACAACTCTGAAGAGACTGTTGTGTGCAGTTGTATCATCAGAGCCTATAAATTCACTGCCAATATGTGTGAGATTTGTATTGTGTTGCACCATCTCTCTCTAGTGGTGGCTGGTGGTAAGAGACTGTGAGAGGGTGTTTGCACCAACTTTATTAGTGGTATTGCCTGGTTTAGCTAACCTGTACCTGCTAGTGAGATCAGTGTTCGTGGTCTGTGAGAGCCCGAGTGCCAGTCTGCTGAAGAGTTGCCTGTCTTGACTGGAGGTGGCAGGAGCAAGGTTCTTCGCAAGGCTCTAAGTTATGAGTGGGGGCAGCATAGATATTAGTGTGAGCATTGTCACTACCTTTGTTAGGATTGGGGATTGTTCATTAATCTGATCATAAAACAGAATACAATAAAACATATGCATATGTAGCCCCTACAACCTTCTGTGGAGTGGCTACTAGAAATTTAGCATTGCTAGAGCTGCAATCAGTCTCTCTGCATCTGTAGTTGGCTATTCTTTGGTTAATTCCAGGTGTTCTGCTATTGATTGTACCTGCCTGCTGCAGTGTCGGCAACCAATGAGAGAACATCTTGAGTGTCTATGGCTCACCAGCTAATGACTGGGAGTTTCATGGCCAGTGGAGCATGCTGGGGGAGTGCATATATACTCATGGGATTGCAATGTGCTCAGTCCAACCTGCTCCTGAGCTTAGCCTGGGGGCGGGATGATCAAAGATGGAAATGCTGACTAGGACTCAAGCCTTGAGGAGGCCACACATGTGGACCCTGAAGGGGTCTTGAACTGATTGAGGAAGAGAACCAGAGAAACTCTAAGACTACTTGAGGTGCCTGGTAGACATGTAAGCTGCGGAAAAATTAGGTTTGGTTCACATATTTCAGGATGCGGATCCGAAATTCAATTTGGTTCGGGGTTTCGGATTCGGGCGAAATCCGGACTTTCATTAGTTTCGGATAAGTTTACGAACGCATATTCACTACGACTACAACAGAACACCATATACAGGTATTAATACTAAAGCTGAATCTGCTAAACCCGAATGGCATCCCGGAGTCCGAATTTCCAAATAACATTTGGGAGCTCCTAAATGCCATTCGGGTCTGGGAGTCTCAGCTTTAGTAATATATGTATACGGCTCCAAGACCCAAATGGCATTCGGGAGCTCCTGAATGCTATTCGGAAATTTGGATCCCGAATGCCGTTCGGGTCTGGGAGCCATATATTGTGCTGTATATACATATATTACTAAAGCTGAGGCTCCCAGACCCGAATGGCATTCAGTATCCGAATTTCCAAATAGCATTCCGAATGCCATTGGGGTCTGGGAGCCTCAGCTTTAGTATTATATGTATGTATTTGGCTCCCATGTTGCCGTAACGAAAATTCGTATTTGCATGCATTAAACTGAAAAACACATTTCATTGGCCAGAAAAGTCACATGTCCATTTCAGTTTTATTTTTGAACGAAATTCGGACGGGGTCTGAAATTCAGAAATGGAAATTCGGATTCGGACACATTCGGATGCATTGAAATTCGGAAATTCGAATGTTGATTCGGAACTAAACAAATGGCACATGTCTAGTGCCTGGTACTGATATGGACCTTAGGAGCAAGTCTGGTGTCTCTCCTATGGAAGATCTCATGCTTATCCTTGTTCAGCTGTTGCTCTATTGCCCAGTGTCAGCCTGTGCTCCTATTGATTCTGCAGTGTGGAAGACTGAAAGGGATTGGTGAATCTGGAGTCTGTCCTATTTTTGCCATTAATGTCCTAAGCCCTCTACCCTCTCTCCCAGTTGATGTTCTGCAATAAAGCATTTAAAAAGGCACTTTATATCCATAAAGTAGATGTGTTATTCTTTTCTGGGTTTTTTTCGTCATAAGATACAAAATATATATAGTTACCGTGTTCCTTGGCAACATCAAAAAATACTGGCACATGGGGTCTACCGGCAAACTCCTCGGTGTAATTGACCAGAGCGTCCTTTACCGTCTCATAGCCGCAGAGCACAACCATCTCCTGAGATCCTATCTGTAGGCTGTACACTGAGCCGTATTTCTCAGCAAGCTGGAAAAAAAATCAAGAACACACTGTTATAAATCCTTAAACTCAGAACTCTATAGAGCACACTAAAAATCTAAAATATTTAAAGCCTAACGCCAGCCATTTTTCTCACTGTATCATTAGTGAGTGATAGGCAGCTGAACTGCTGCAATGTTGTTGCTGCCAGCCACAGAGCGAGTTGAGATCACAAGCACCAGTGCCAGGGACATGCCTGCAAATTATGGGTCCACATAGCAAAATTACGACATCTCCCTTCCTGTGATCTCTTTGAAGCTCCTGACATTTGACATCTCTTTAAACAGGTCCCTTTACTGCTGATGGCCCGCTGTCTGTATTGACACCTATTTGTATCCTATTTACTTCTATGATGGTCTATGCACCACTTCAATTTTCATCCATATTACACTGATGGTCAGTGGGCAGCCCCCTATTGATGATCATGTACACTGGTGGGAAAGTGTGAATATTTTGTGTGGCCACCATTATTTTCCAGCATTGCCTTAACCCTCTTGGGCGTGGAGTTCACCAGAGCTTTACAGGTTGCCACTGGAGTCCCCTTCCACTCTTCCATGACAACATCACAGAGATGGTGGATGTTAGAGACCTTGCGCTGCCCCACAGATGCTGTCAGAACTATTGGGCCGAAAGGAATCGATTTCATAGGCCTAAACATGTCATTTTACAGAGGTGTCTCTGGGCATACTAGTAGACATTTTGTCTATGTGCTATAAGGTGAAAATAAGTTAATTCTTTTCTTGTAGAGACCTTCACAGATAAATTAGGAATGTTAGTTTAAACATTCTTCAGATCGTAAATGGTGGGGGTCTCAGACGCATATCAGTTAAAGATGGTGCCAGCCTGTGTGGGGCTTGATTGATTACTTTCTTGCCTCCCTACCAGAGATTGTAATTTTAAAGAGTTTTTTTTTTTCTTTGTCCAATGAATAGAAGAAAGGGGCTTATTTAAAAGTTCCTTATGAAACCTTACTATTCATTGCAGTAATAAATATTAGCAACAGTGTTATTATATTATTATATTATATGTAGCATCTATCTGCCTACTTAATTGACTGATTTTAAGTAAAATTTTGTACATGTACTTTTATATATCCAAACTATATTCATTATATATATTGTTTGAGTGTACCCATTGAAATATATTGTTGTGTATTACTAATAATGGGGTTTTTATATTTAAGTGCAAAGAATTAGGTGGTACATGCCAATGTATATTCTTTTCTTATAATGTAGGAAAAACCTCGGTCTTAAAACTTCTTATCTTACTTTTAAGGAATTGAGAAAGAATGTTAATTGTTTTGAATAGACTGTTTTCAAAGTTGTAAATCGAAGAAGTAGACCTAAAGGTCTGACAGTGTGTAATCGAGTATTGTCAAAAGTTTATATTCACGGTTTTGTCCAAGGTCTGAGGTTAAAGGTTATATCACTGCCTTATCTTTAGAAATTAGTGAAATTAAATGAAATGCTCCCAATTTTTACATAGAACAATAGTGCCCCCTGATGGTGATTGTGAGGGAAAGGTCTATGACAAAAAGGGTATTTGATATCATGTTTCACGTCAGTAATCACGTGATAGATCAAACCAAGCCCACAACGCAGGGGGGGATATAGAGAGGGGACCAGGAGCCCAAGGGAGATTGGAATTCCATCATCAGGGAGAGTCAAACAAGACAAGGCAGTAAGCAAAGACATGACAAGGGGATAGGTCAGAAGCTGAGGACGGCTGTCCTAGAAACTGAACTAAAGAGAACCTGACTATCCCTGGTTGCTGAGCATTGACTGCTGACTTCTTCCAAAACAACTAAATGTATATTGCTGGTAAAGTATACTTTCTATCTGTATATTAGGCAATTCATCAGCCACCTACATATATATATTCGGGTAAACCATTGAGTTCTTGTAGAATCTAAATTGATTTGAGATAATTTTTAACTGCAGTAAAAATTGTGTCTTTCAATTTGGGGAGATAATATATACTTTTGTTTTATACATTTGTATAATCTCCAGGAAACTGATTTCAGTTTCTAGTCAATGGTCTAGTCTGATATATATTCAATTATACTGGTGGTAATTTTTCTTTGCTTTGACTGGTCTGGGCTTATTGCCAGCCCTGTGCATGCTGGGATAAATATCGCCCATGCGCTGTGAAAGTTAGAGTTTGTGAATATCTGTGCTGAGAGAAGTCACATGTCAATTCTGAGCCTTTCGTTTTCTTATTCTGTGTGATACTGAGAAGACACCCATTACATTTAAAAAGTCGTTTATCTTGGTCACATTTATATTTTTAACATATCCAGTGGTTAAATTTTTTTATGCATTACCTGTGTTATCAAATTGATTGATATTATCTGATCCATATTCTTTGTTTGTCACCAATTATATTTTATTATTATTTTTGCACTGAATTTTGATAAATAAATATCTATATTTTATATACTTTGGTATTCCTCTTGTCTTCGAAGTCAGCGCAAATGAATGAACTCACGTAAATTTGGATTTATGGAAATACATTGGGAATCTCCTTAATTATAGATTTTTAATTGTTTCCATAAATAGAACTGTATATCAGAGCAGTATAAACATTCTGACAATGCTCAATAGGGTTTAGGTCTGGAGACATGCTTGGCCAGTCCATCACCTTTACCCTCAGCTTCTTTAGCAAGGCAGTGGTTGTCTTGGAGGTGTGTTTGGGGTCGTTATCATGTTGGAATACTGCCCTGCGGCCCAGTCTCCAAAGGGAGGGGATCATGATCTGTTTCAGTATGTCACAGTACATGTTGGCATTCATGGTCCCCTCAATGAACTGTAGCTCCCCATTGGCGGCAGCACTCATGCAGCCCCAGACCATGACACTCCCACCACCATGCTTGACTGTAGGCAAGACACACTTGTCTTTGTACTCCTCACCTGGTTGCCGCCACACACACTTGACACCATCTGAACCAAATAAGTTTATCTTGGTTTCATCAGACCACAAGACATGGTTCCAGTAATCCATGTCCTTAGTCTGCTTGTCTTCAGCAAACTGTTTGAGGGATTTCTTGTGCATCATCTTTAGAAGAGGCTTCCTTCTGGGACGACAACCATGCAGACCAATTTGATGCAGTGTGCGGCGTATTGTCTAAGCACTGACAGGCTGACCCCCCCTTCAACCTCTTCAAGCAATGCTGGCAGCACTCATATGTCTATTTCCCAAAGACAACCTCTGGATATGACGTTGAGCCTGTGCACTCAACTTCTTTGGTCGACCATGGCGAGTCCTGTTCTGAGTGGAACCTGTCCTGTTAAACCGCTGTATGGTCATGGCCACCGTGCTGCAGCTCAGTTTCAGGGTCTCACAATCTTCTTATAGCCTCGGCCATCTTTATGTAGAGCAACAATTCTTTTTTTCAGATCCTCAGAGAGTTCTTTGCCATGAGGTGCCATGTTGAACGTTCAGTGACCAGTATGAGAGAGTGGGAGCGATAACACCAAACTTAACACACCTGCTCCCCATTTACACCTGAGACCTTGTAACACTAATGAGTCACATGACACCGGGGAGGGAAAATGGCTAATTGGGCCCAATTTGGACATTTTCACTAAGGGGTGTGCTCACTTTTGTTGACAGCGGTTTACACATTAATGGCTGTGTGTTGAGTTATTTTGAGGGGACAGCAAATGTACACTGATATACAAGCTGTACACTCCCTACTTTACATTGTAGCAAAGCGTCATTTCCTCTGTGTCGTCACATGAAATGATATCATAAAATATTTACAACAATGTGAGGGGTGTACTCACTTCTGTGAGATACTGTATATATATGTCAATACATGTTGGAAGCAGTGTAAAGTCTGAAATTTAACTTGGTATCGGCCTCTTGCAGTCCCTGTACAGCTTAGCTCAGACAAGAGGCAGGAGGAGCAGAACAGGGAGCCAATCAGGTGTGCCTCAGTACCAGGAACATGGTCATAGCAAGAAAGAGCCGAGTGACACTAGACACCATAATACTTCATTCTAGAAACTTCATTGATGAGCAGGAATCCGCTTACCTACACTTTACCCACACATTTCAAAGTCCAAGATCTTACCTCGTGAAACGTTACGTAGGGTTTATTCGCATTGATAATGTGCATATTTCCAATAAGAGGAAAACGTGGTGGTCCAGGAGGATAATTTGGATGAACTTTTTTCTTCTGACCGAATAAAAATATTGCCAGAAAAACAGAGGTGACAACGGAGAGGACAATGGTAACCGGATCATTAAAATACATGTCTGCAAAACCTGGAGACAAAAAGAGAAATGAAAATCAGAACCTGAATGGAACAAAAAAAAGTAAAGTATGGAGCTCATAGAGGCTAAGGAGGAGGAGGAGCTTTGTATCAGTTACACTAGCGGACATGTTTCTTGGCTCAACCACCGGGTGAGCTTTGCTGGATTTTGCTGGGAGAAGGTCCAAAGATGATGACAGAGGCTATTTACTTCCTCTCCACCTCACTGACATGCTTTGAGGAAATGCCCCCTTTTGTAACATCAATGGTTGGAATGTGTTGGGTATTGTATTGCTTGTGGGAAAGGGTTCTCTGTGGCCAATCTACCATGGAGGGACTCTAAAGGTGTTGGTCTCTTTAAGGTGTGGTGGCTGTAGCAGTGTAGGAGGAATGCTGTAAAGAAAAGTTTTTTCAAATTTCCAATGTAAATGTTGAGTTTATTTGAAAAAGTTTTTATATCACACAGCCAATGTATTTTGGGGGTTTGACCCCTTAGCCCTCGTTCACACCTGACCCTTTTGGAGCGCGTTCTACGCTCGACGAACGCTCTACAAAACGGTCAAAAATATAAATTGCATTGTAGTCAATGGTCTCGTTCCCACCTTGTCGTATTTCCGCCCGTCCCTAACGCGCTACAAAACGGCACACGCCTGAAAAGGTCCAGGTACTACTTTGGACCGTTTTGTAGGGCGTTTCCATTGGGATACAGCCAAGTAGCCTTCGGAAACGCGCGACGGTTGCGCAACTTTTTTACCGCGAATCGCGGTAAAAAAACGCGCGATGGTCGCGTGACAGACGCACATATGCAATACGCCTAGGTGTGAACGAGACCTTATACAGGAGTTAAAGCGACATTAAACCTTAAGATTTTTTAACATAAAACAATACTGTAATGTGTGCCTTCCTGTAATCCATGGTTGTTTCCCTTCTCTTTGCTGCTCTTCCTTTTAAATCTGTATCTCTTCTCATGCTTGGAGAGAACTTCTATTTTGCAGCAGACTGCCTTGTCTCTGAAAGGGATACATGGTATCTGTGTGTTGGTTTGAGCCAGCACTACAGCCAGCACTACAGGAAGAGGCAACCAGCTGCAAAGGGAAGTTCTCCCCAAGCATGAGAAGACATGAGGATTTAAAAGGAAGAGCAGCAAAGAGAAGGGAAACAACCATAGATTACAGTAAGGTACACATTACAAAAATCTGAGGGTTTAATGTCGCTTTAAGGCTTGGGAGAATTGTAAATCAGTGCATGGTTCAGTAAGGAACCAGGGTTTAATACCTACATGTTACAGCCATCTGATACACCCTTCTGTATCTGACATGGCACATATGTATAGAAGGGATATGGAAGAGAGCAGGAAGGAGCAGTGGACTGGTCAAATTGTTCCAATAAGGGCACACAGTGTAACGTAAGAAAAGTCACACTACATTCTCAATTTCAGGAGCGGATTATAACAAATTTTTTATATGCCCGAATATACTAAAATGATTTTGGGGCATATAAAAATTTGTTATGAGACCGCACGGAAGCCATATTGGCCACCGGCGCGTTCTGTGCATGCCCGCCGGCATCTTGGAGCATCTTATACACCAAGATGGCAGTGCCCACATATTCAGGTGCTGTCATCTTGGTGTACACCATACTTCAAAATGGCGGCACGCATGCGCAGAACGTGCTGACGGCCGATACGGCTGCCGCTTGTTCTGCAGTTTTTTTGTGCGGTTTTGCAGGGCAAAAAAATTTGTTTCAGACGAAAAAAAATTAAATGAAAAGCATTTTTATTTGTTTTCGTCAATGGAAACGAATTTTAATGCTGTTTTGGATTCGGACTGTTTTTTGACGAAACAAATACAAATGTTTTTCATTTTAATTTTTTTTGTCCGAAACAATTTTTTTTGCCCTGCACATGTCTAGTTGCAATGCTTTGCTGTCTCCAATGCACAATCCAATTTCTTTTATGAAAAAGTGTATATTTATTATGTTACTGCAAAAGGTGCAATTATTTTTTAGTATTTGTGATCTGCAGGGAACATCCATGTTCCCGCCATCTCAAAGCATATTTAAACCCAAGTGATATAGCAGCTTACTGGTACATAGATGTGATGGCTGCATTAGTTTTCTTATTTCAGTTCTTATTCCAATTATTTTCACCTAGGAACCCTGTGAGTAACATATTTCCTATCTCCTGGTTAGTGCAGCTCACTCCTTCACTGTGTGTATGGAGGGAACCATGGTTGCCACTAGTGATGAGGCTGGGCTCGGTACAAACTCACTTCATTTGAGTTTGCCCATTCCTGCTCAAAACTCTGACCACCACCCTTTCCTCCCAACCCAATCAGTTGCAGGGAAGTGCATTCCCCACCCTGCAGCTGTACATCACAAAACAGCAAGGAATGCCCCCACTGTATCTGCTGCCACTGATTGGGTTGGGAGGATGGGGTGGTGGTCATAGCTTTGAGTGGGGTTGGGCGAACTCAAGCAAACTGGGTTTGCACCAAGCCCAGCCTCATCTCTACTTGCCACCCAGTTTGTACTTCAAACATGTCTACCTTTGTTCACTTCCCATGGGGCTCGTAGTTTACAGATAAATATCAGATTGCTTTTTGTTTCCAGTTCATCTCACAGGAAGTGACAAGGACACGGCATTTCTCGCAAGAGCAGCAGATATTTTCTCTACTCCCTAGAAATGTTCTAAAAAATGAAAAGTAAAGCAGTCACCCCCATCTAAGGTCTGAAAAGCTGCAATATATTGAATTTTTGTTCTTGGCTTTAGTTATTCTTGAAGTGCTCCTTTACTTCTGAGTGTGTCAGGTTGATATTACTTCTGCCAGGTGCTCTTGAGCATGCTCCAATAGTCTATGTCAGAGGGGTCAACAATCCAATTTCTGAATATTTATCCACCTAGCCAATAAGGACCTTGTTCTGGTGGTGTGTTTTCAAGTGTTTCAAGCCGAACTGAAGCATTTTTAAGCTTGCCCCAAGCTACAGCGACAGTTCCTGGGGTCCTTGTTAAAGAAAGCTTTTGCTGAGATGGCATGTCTGGATAATGAGCTCTGTCTTTGTCTGGAAATGTAAACTTCAAGCAGTTGAGAAGCATACCAAAGCCTGCTAAAATCTTATTTAAAGCTACATCCAGCATTCCCATTAAGATCTCTATTCAGCACTTCCAGGTTCAGGGTGAAAGGTAGTTTAGGAAAGCTGATTAAATCTTGTCAAGGAAAACCTACAGCGAGGATATATAGAGGTTGCCGTTGCTGACCTGTGTAAATTCTCGTTGGCAGGCTGTCATATTGATTCAATGGCTTCAACACTTCCAGGTGTTCTCACAGCACTTTGACTTTATATATCACATTATCAGAGACTCATCATATTGTAGCCAAGCAGACAGACAGGAAACACGTTTTTAAGAAGGTGGTCAGAGATTAAAGCCCCATTATACTGAATGCCCCTGTTTACAGCAATGGCAGCTCCCTTATACCGAATGCCCGTTTACAGCAATGGCAGCCCCCTTATACCGAATGCCCCTGTACTCAGCAATTGATCCCCCTTATACTAAATGCTTGTTTACAGCAATGGCAGCCCCCTTATACTGGATGCCCATTTTCAGCAATGGCAGCCCCTTATACCGAATGCCCGTTTACAGCAATGGCAGCCCCCTTATACCGAATGCCCCTGTCCTCAGCAATTGCTCCCCCTTATACTAAATGCTTGTTTACAGCAATGGCAGCCCCCTTATACTAAATGCTTGTTTACAGCAATTGCAGCCCCCTTATACTAAATGCTTGTTTTCAGCAATGGCAGCCCCCTTATACTGAATGCCTGTTTATAGCAATGGCAGCCCCCTTATACTTAATGCCTGTTTATAGCAATGGCAGCCCCCTTATACTTAATGCCTGTTTACAGCAATGGGAGCCCTCTTATACTAAATGCTTGTTTACAGCAATTGCAGCCCCCTTATACTAAATGCTTGTTTACAGCAATGGCAGCCCCCTTATACTGGATGCCCATTTTCAGCAATGGCTTGCCTGTTATACTTAATGCCCATTTTCAGCAATAGCAGGCCCCTTATACTGAATGCCTGTTTATAGCAATGGCAGCCCCCTTATACTAAATACCTGTTTATACCAATGGCAGCCCCCTTATACTGAATGCCTGTTTATAGCAATGGCAGCCCCCTTATACTGAATGCCTGTTTACTGCAAGGGCAGCCCCCTTATACTGAATGCCGTTTTCAGCAATGGTTCCACCCTTATACTGGAATGCCCTGTTTTCAGCAATCGCATCCCCCTTATACTGAAAGCCCCTGTTTTCAGCAATGGCAGCCCCCTTATACTGAGAGCCCCTGTTTTCAGCAATGGCAGTCCCCTTATACTGAAAGCCCCATGCCATGTACATTTATGAAACATTAGCCAATGATTAACCTTATTTATTCAAAAGCTCTGCCCAAAAATTGTGCTCCTCAGATAAAGCTCTGACAATGATTTTAACCCCATACAAAGGAAATGGCATAATTCTGGTCAATGTCTTACCTTTTATGTTAGGGTTGTAGTGCAGTCCTCGATCTCAGTCAGTCTTCAGCTGAAGTAATGGAGGATGGAGAATTTGGAACACATTTATATAACTGCCAGTGAACTAAAGTCCTCAACCCAGGGAAGCCTTGCCCACATGTATTGAATATAGTTGAAAGCATTATGCAATGGGTTGCAAACACTACTATCACGTGAGCGCTGGATAAACATACTTTATCCCACACACCTTTCACATTGTTTTCACGCAAGGTATACTGTGACACAACATTTTTTAATCTGCATGACTGCTATAGGGAGTGTAGACAAGAATATAACTATACCCACAGCTTGCCAGGAGTTTGTACGATGACACGAATGTACCAGAGTTTGAATACAGAAATACAATACCGCACTAAAACTACAAGACATCCAAGCTGCAATGAGGATACAAATAATGTGTTGATGTGAAGGATGGACATCTTCTAATAACTTATATTATTATGGTGTTTTCCAAACTAGAGTCCCACCATAGGAGGAGATAGGACATCTTCAATGGGGACATAGACAAAACCATTAGTAGAGTGGGGAAGGTTTGGGACCTCTGACAATGTTCTTATTGCTATTGTAGCACCCTAGAGAAGGGGTAGCCAAACTCCGGCCCTCCAGCTGTGGTGAAACTACAAATCCCATGATGCATCTCTCTCCGGGAGTCATGTATGTGGCTGTGAGAATCTTGCAATGGCTCTTGGGATTTGTAGTTCCACCACAGCTGGAGGGCCGGTGTTTGGCTACCCCTGCCCTAGAGGAAAGTGTGCTATTAAATGTAGTGATATCAGATTGTATGGAGTCTGATGCTGATTTGTAGTCTGGGTTCATTTGGTTTCCCGTAAACAATCTGTCATTGTTTGCATCTGTCTGCTGCTAGGTGTTCTGCTGGGTGTACCCTGGTCACAGAACAGAGCAACCAATGAGGGACTGCAATACCTCTCCAGCCAATCACTGTTAGACGATGGCCAGTGGTGCATGCTGGAGGAGATAAATACTTGGGGTGGACCATGTGAGCTCTCTCTTCCTCCCCAGGGCCCAGCCTTGGTGGAGGCTGCCATGGATTTTCTGAGATGGGGACTAGCCGTTTGATGAACCTGGAGCCTGAAAGCAGCCGGTCCAGTGGTTCCTACTGATGACAAGGACTAGTAACTTTTCAAGTATTGCTGTGTCAGGTACTCTACCTGCTGTGCATGGAGACAGTAACCACACTCTGTAATGCAATGGAGTCTACATCTGTCTGGATGATCCTAACCCTCCTCCTCTCTCCCTGAAGTTCTGCAATAAAAGTTCTCAGCATCATATCTACAGTCTGGACATCACTTCAATCGATCACCAGAAAGGGCGGGAAGTGCTGATTGGCAAAAGCGAGTAATGTTATCCCTAGACAAGAAGAATTCGGAGTTGCCATAACCCATAGCAACCGACCCTGGCACTCAAGGTGGGCCGATGTGCTGTGAAACCATAATAGAGGTTTCTTATAGAGGAAAGTCAGGGAAACCTGTAGATCACCCCTTCAATGCCACCGGTAATGTTATCCTACGTTCGGATATCGCTGAGTAAGGGGGGGGGCGATACACTATATATTATTATTATTATACAGGGTTTATATAGTGCCAACAGCAGGGGCGTATCTGCCGCGAGGCAAACAAGGCGTTTGCCTGGAGCGGCAGATTCGCTGAGGGCGGCAATGCTGCCTTGCCTAGGGCAAAGCTGCACATCCCCCCCCC